CGAGACTCCGTCTCAAAAAATAAATAAATAAATAAATAAATAAACAAATAAATAAATAAAATAAATGCCATCAGAAGTGTTGATCTTCCCAGCAATACCCATTTCTCTGTGCCTGGAATTTGTTTTCCTGGTTTACGAACTGTTTATATTTACCTGCCTTCCTATGCAATAGGAAAACTAACTGTCCCTCTGTGCTCCCTCTAGCTTGGAGGATACAAACATCCAGGCCCCCTGGGAAAAGGAGTTGATGGAAAGGCCAAATCTGGCAGATTTTTTGTGCTTTGTCCTTGTAACAAGATGATTTTCACATAAGTTTGAATTATTAACAAAGATGAATAACAGAACATTGTTTTTGTTCCTCAACAGGAATTTTCTGAACCAACCATTATTCTCTTTGAAAGAGAAGACTTCAAAGGAAAAAAGATTGAACTTAATGCAGAAACCATTAATCTCCGATCCCTGGGATTCAACACGCAAATACGCTCTGTTCAGGTTATTGGTGGCATGTGAGTTACCTACTCGTTGACTCAATAAAATAGATCATTTTAAAAATCAAGTTTGGGCTGGGCACAGTGGCTCACGCCTGTACTCCCAACACTTTAGGAGGCCGAGGTAGAAGGATCATTTGAATCCAGGGGTTCAAGAAAAGCCTGGACAACAAAGTGAGACCCCATCTCTACCAAAAATTTAAAAATTAGCCAGGTGTGGTGGCACATGCCTGTGGTCCCAGCTACACAGGAGGCTGAGGCCGAAGGATCACTTGAGCACAGTAGGTTGAGGCTGCAGTGAGCCGTGTTCACACCACTGTACTCCAGTCTGAGTGACAGAGCAAGACCTCATATTAAAAAAAAAAAAAAAAAAAATCAGAGTTCTGCCTCTCTTATATTACATTTCTCTTACTTTCTGTAAGGGTTAATAATTATGCACCTTTCTAGAACACTTTTCCACTGGGAAAAGTGTAAAGCATCTTTTATTTCATTATCCAGATTTTTAGTTTATTTAAGGTAAGGACTTTGTCTTTAACACCTCTCATAGTCTAGCAAGTAAGAAAGAGCTGACTTTTCTTATCCCTTTAAAAAAAAGTAAGTCCTCTGATTTTGGAGCTCAGGGCTGAGATTTTCGTTAGCTGGGAATGACTGGCAGATGTTCTACAAATGATTAAAGGTTAACTTGGAAAGATTTTTTTCCCTCAACTTTGAATACTTTTGAAAAATATAAAAATGAATGAGTACTATCAATGTAATATATGTTTTTAAGGAAGTATTTTTCTTTTATTCACAAAAACAATAGGTATGGTCTACCTGTGTACAACAGATGTTGGGGTGGACTACATCTACTTAAAAAATAATCAGGCCGGGCTGGGCGCAGTGGCTCCTGCCTGTAATCCCAGCACTTTGGGAAGCTGAGGCGGGTGGATCACCTGAGGTCAGGAGTTCAGGACCAGCCTGGCCAACATGGTGAAACCCCGTCTCTGCTAAAAATACAAAAATTAGCCAGGTGTGGTGGTGGGCTCCTGTAACCCCAGCTACTCGGGAGGCTGAGGCAGGAGAATCACTTGAACCCGGGAGGTGGAGGTTGCAGTGAGCTGAGATCACACCACTGCACTCCAGCCTGGGCAACAAGAGTGAAACTCCATCTAAGAAAAAAATTTTTTTAAATCACAGAAGCTGGGCGCAGTGACTCACGTCTGTAACCCCAGCACTTTGGGAGGTCAAGGCGGGCAGATCACTGGAACCCAGCAGCTCCAGACAAGCCTGGGCAACATGTTGAAACCCTGACTTTACTAAAAACACAAAAATTAGCCGGGTGTGGTGGTGTGCGCCTGTAGTCCCAGCTGCTCAGGAGGCTGAGGTGGGAGATCACTTGAGTCTGGGAAGTTGAGACTGCAGTGAGCTGTAATCGTGCCACTGCCCTTCAGCCTGGGCAACAGAGTGAGACCTACCTGAAAAAAAAAATTATAGAATATTAGGGTGGTAGAATTACAGGTGATTTTTTTGCAGCAGGTTTGAATATTTTGTTTTTATGATAAGATGACTAAAATGATAAAATTTCATCTAGGATTTAAGTTCCTGGATTAAAAGTAGAGTGCATTCTTCCTTGATGTAATATGCAAGAGAGGAGGGTGCTGGGCTGCTTCCACGCCAGTCTGCACTTGAACCCATACTTCCTCAGGTGTGCAGCAGCAGCATCTGAGCAGAAGGGAACTGAGTATCTTAGCAGTTTTTTAGATTTAACAAAGATTACTCTCATTGCAGACAAAACTTATTATTTAACCCTATTTAGCACCTACTAAGAGCTTTGAAAATATTAACTACTTAAACAACTTAAAGATCCATTATTACAACTGAAGCTATTTTATGAATAGTTCCCAGGAATAACTGAGGAATCCACTAAAAGACAATATTTCATTGCTTTATGGAGGAAACAACTTACCTATTTCTTTTCAAGAATGGAACTTTTTGGCATAAGTACTCACATAGCAAAATTTTGCTATTTGTCAAGAAATTACTTAAGTGTTCTAGAAAAGATCTTCATTTTTCCCCCAATGTATGTTAAAAGTATATAGTTCAGTCTAGAAATGGAAAGCATTCTAAAAATAAATGTAATTGGGGTCCACTGTCAAATGAAAATTGCCACTTACTGTGGTTATTTGCTTTTTGTTTTCAGATGGGTTACTTATGAATATGGCAATTACAGAGGGCGACAGTTCCTATTGTCACCCGCAGAAGTACCTAATTGGTATGAATTCAGTGGCTGTCGCCAAATAGGTTCTCTACGACCTTTTGTTCAGGTATTTTCTTCTTCTCCATGCTCTGTATAGACTCTTCTCTGAAATTTCTTTTTTGTAAATGCAATCCAACTTTTTATCCAATTTTTTAATTCACAGTTTATAATTGGCCTCACCCCATAAACTCCTTCCCCGCCCCAATAATCTGGGCTCAGTTTCTGGTGCTAAGAGGTGTGGCTGCTTCAGAATGCCATAAAACTGAACATCAAAGGCAGTTATCCACAGGCAGGCACCTGCCTCAGGCACTTTGACATTTTTGTCAAACTCTTCTCATTGAGAAAATCTAAAACCTCTGAGACTCTGGAGTATAGTAATTACCCTTAATCCATAAACACTTTGGATTCTTCCTGATATTAATGCTTGTTCAGTGCTTCCAGCAGCACATCTTGTATGACGACTGCTGGGGTTTTTGTCTTCTAGAAGCGAATTTATTTCAGACTTCGAAACAAAGCAACAGGGTTATTCATGTCAACCAATGGAAACTTAGAGGATCTGAAGCTTCTGAGGATACAGGTCATGGAGGATGTTGGGGCCGATGATCAGATTTGGATCTATCAAGAAGGATGCATCAAATGCAGGGTGAGCTTCAGGATTCCATGGGGGCCTGTGATGCCTTTGCTAGGAAGTGACCATCCTTTCATAAGCTTTTGATCTTTTCTTCAAGTAGATGCAATTTCACAATTTCCTGGAGTACTTTCAGAAATGAACTTTTTTTCATGACAGTATATCCTAGCTCTGATAGAACCAGTCTAGGAACTTAAAATGAAAGGTAAATATAGCACTGATCCAAGATAGAATATTTACTTCTATGCTTGATTTTTATATAGTAGTAGAAAAAGGAAGTGTTTTTCTTCCCTTTTTCCTTAACGTAACTGTTACAGAAACAAACTGTAAGCTCCAGCCCTGTCAACAAAAATCACTCTTGGTTTGTTTCTGTTTTGGGGAAATCCAAAGACTAGGATGAAGGGTAAAGAGATCCCTCTGTGTACTACACAGTCCATTTCCTAAGTGTCATACGCTGTAAAGTGGAAAATGGCCCGTCTCCCTCCTGCACCATTCCTGCTATTAACAGACACTTAAAAGCTGACTGTAGTAAGATTTTTATGAAAGAAGCTCATGTTTCTATGGTAGATAAAACTTTTTTATTCCTTGATTTTTTATGAGCTTGACCGTTGGCTCCTGATTTTCTTTAAAAAACAAAACAAAACAAAACAAAAAAAACAACCTGGTGCCCCATGAGTCAGCAGAAGGAACACAGCCTTTCGAAAAGGAGTACAACTCGTTAATTGGGTCTGTTGTGCTGGAGGGGGAATTCTTTCCGTAAACAGAAGTACTGTTTGGACATGCATAGAAGAACTAGCAGGAGAAACAGAAGTAGTTGTAATATAGAAGCAAGAAAAGCAGCTTTCTGCCTTTGAATTGTCTTAAACAAGCCAAGAAAATGGTGCCTTTCAGCAGTTATTTCTAACAGACATTTCAGTGATGTTATTTAACAACTTTGAATTCAATAGGTCAATGAGAAAAAGTCTCCTAGATTATCAAGTGCTTTCATCTCAATATAGAATAATACACTTTATTTTATTTCAATTTTTTTTTAGACAGAGTCTTGCCCGGTCACCAGGCTGGAGTGCAGTGGCACGATCTCGGCTCACTTCAACCTCTGCCTCCCGGGTTCATGCGATTCTCCTGCCTCAGCCTCTTGAGTAGCTGGGACTATAGGCACGTGCCACCACGCCCAGCTAACTTTTTTGTATTTTTAGTACAGATGGGGTTTCACCATGTTGGCCAGGATGGTCTTCATCTCCTGACCACGTGATCCGCCTGCCTTGGCCACCCAAAGGGCTGGGATTACAGGCGTGAGCCACTGCACCTGGCCTAGAATAATACACTTTTAACAGACATTTTTATAGCAACATTGTTTTGTTTTTGTGTTTGAGACAGAGTCTAGCTCTGTTGCCCAGGCTGGAGTGTAGTGATGCGATCACAGCTCACTGTAGCTTCGACCTGGGTTCAAGGGATCCTCCCACCTCAGCCTGCTGAGTAGCTGAGGCCCACATGTGCATGCCACTACACCTGGCTAATTTTTAAAACTTTTCTGTAGAGATAGGGCCTCACAAGTGATCCTCCCACATTGGCCTCCCAAAGTGTTGGGATTACAGTTGTGAGCCACTGCACCTGGCCAGTAATATTTGTTAATGGCATGTGAACATGACTGTCATACATTATTTATATAATAAGGGTAGACTCACTTCAGGGAAGGGCTCATAAAATCTTTGCATTGAAACACCCTCTAGTGAGTCTGCATTTTTCTCTTTTCATAGCTGGAAAGCATGCCTGTTTAGAAAATTTTAGTTCTCATGAAGGAAAGACAGATGCTAATAAATGAATTCTGAATTTTAAAATGATAAAATGCCCTTTAGCCACCCAGTGCTACAAAATTAGAGGTGCAGTCATATACTGGAAGGTCAGGCCAAGCAGAGGTGGAGATGTCAGAGGGCAACATAGCTACAGAACCTGCCTGGGATCGTGGTCACTTATGGCAGGCAAAAATATGATGGGCAATTTTAATGTTCTGAGGCTTTCCCTACTAGTAAGATTTAGTCTTGCAAAGGGCAGAAGTCTTACGACGCACAAAAATTGAGATTTTTCCATCACTCGTGTCATCTGAAATAAAGGGCATAAATATTTATTGTCCGATTCTAGTTGGCTAAGAGCTGAACTGCCTCATGTGGGGTAAATGAAGCTAGGAACTGAGATAATTTTAAAGATCAAGGTAACCAGAGAAACCATTGCTATGAGACTTACAGCTGGATACATATTTAAGCTATCTTGTCTTTTCCACCGAGCAGATAGCAGAAGACTGCTGCCTGACGATTGTGGGCAGCCTGGTAACATCCGGCTCCAAGCTAGGCCTGGCCCTGGACCAGAATGCTGACAGCCAGTTCTGGAGCTTGAAGTCCGACGGCAGGATTTATAGCAAGTTGAAGCCAAATTTAGTTTTAGATGTCAAAGGTAAGGGTCACTTCCCTTATTTTTATTGTAATGCGTATGTCTTTTAGTTAAGGAAAAATCTATCCATAACTTTTGAAAATGATGATGAATGTATTATTAGTAGTAACAGTAGAGAGCGCCTACTATGTGCCAGCTGCTGTGTTAACCACTTTCAGTACAGTGTCTCCTGTCATCTTCATAGCCGCCCTATGAGGTCTACATTATCCCCTCTCCCTCTTCTCCCCAATTTTACAGACAAAAAAAAGGGAAGTTCAAAGGGGTTGGCCAGTTTAGCCACAATCTCACAGCTGTAACTGCTGAACCAGAATCTGGCCATAGGCTGACTTCAAACCATTCATTTTATTATATTAGACTAAAAATCACAAGCTGAAAGGCCATGATTGCACTTAGTTCAGTAGAGTTGATGATTCTCATGTATACACGTGACCTTTCATTGAAAAGATCTAAGATCTCAAAGGAATTAACACAGCCTAGAGGATTTCAATGCAATATGTGTTCAATGAAGCTAATAAGGAGTGAATTGATGGTGCTTGGGGCAAATAAATTTAGGGTGGTGGTCCTCAAACTTCATTTACATCAGAATCACCTGGAGGGTGGGTTAAAATAGACTGTGGGGCCACATCCTCAGAGACTGAGTCTGTAGGTCTGGGGTGGGGCCTGAGAATTCCTTTTCTAACAAGTTCCCAGGTGTTGCCAATGCTGCTGGTCTGAGGCCCACACCCGGAGAATCCCCAACGGTCATTTTAAAACAACATAAGAATGACCTAACCTCTGTGTGGGAACTCAGTGAACTAGTGCTGTTGCTATTGACAGGAGCAGACAGTGTTATACTCATGTCATCTGGGGTAATTCTGCTTTAAATTAATGAGCACTTTTTAAATTCCCTATCAGGAAAGTACAATTGTTTTGTAAATTTAGCAAACTGGTGATAATGTAACCGTACTACATACTCCATTACTTTTTAAAATTTTTATGAGTATATTACATACTCTATTTTAAATCATCACTACAAAATGACTCAATTTTACTTTAATCAGGGATTTAGGCCAATGCTGTCATTAAAGTTTAAGATGTAGGGGTAAAGAGCCAGACGTGGTGGCTCACGCCTGTAATCCCAGCACTTTGGGAGGCCAAGGTGGGCGGATCACGAAGTCAGGAGATCGAGACCATCCTGGCTAACTTGATGAAACCCCGTCTCTACTAAAAAACACAAAAAAATTAGCCGGGCGTGGTGGTGGGCACCTGTAGTCCCAGCTACTCAGGAGGCTGAGGCAGGAGAATCGCGTCAACCCGGGAGGCAGAGGTTGCACTGAGCTGAGATTGTGCCACTGCACTCCAGCCTGGGCGACAGAGCGAGACTTCGTCTAAAAAAAACAAGTTGTAGGGGTAAAGAAAGCACTGCAATCTGATTTTTAAAAAGCGACATTTATGGATAATGGAGAATGAACCTGGACATTTTCATCAGGGGCTTTGGTAGCTGTATGGGGAGCAAAAGTGGCTGTGTCACTTCTGGATCACCAGGTAGGTAGTTTGGCCAAACCACTTAAAACAACGGACTTAGAATCACACAGAATCTGAGAAGTTGGAAAGATGCTCAGAGGCAAACAATGCCTTTGCCTTCATTAAGGGGGCACTTAGGGAACACAAACTAAGCACTGCAACTACAGGCTGGATGGAGACCACAAAGATCATATGAAATGCAAGCAGTACCCTTGGATATAAGAAAATAAATGTAATATTCAGAAACTGAACAGTAACATATAGTACAGCTCCCTCACGTTACATCTGGTACAACAGATTTGTCAATATGTAGACAGGTGAAATACTCATTTTATAGATGATCAACCTGAGGTTCAAACTAGTTACGATTTACGCACATCTTTCTTTATTCTTATTCTGATAAACTTTATTGCACTAGAGTGCTTCAGTGTTTACAAGAGTTTCAAAATCTCCAGAGACACCAAAGAAATGTGACTGAATTGGAAAAAATGGAGTTTTTGAGGCAATGTTAGAAAAAGTAGGGTATTTAGTTCTCAAAGGAAATCTGACTAAACCTTCCTGTTTTTTACAAATGTGATCCGCTTCCTATGTCCAGGGTGGACGACACTATAATCCTTAGCTAGAGCTTTCTTCTCTTATTCTTTCAACATGTATTCATGGGGTACACACTATGTGGCAGGCTCAGTGCTAGACATGGAGGGCACCACAGTGAGAAAAAAAAAAGCCACCTCCTTAGCTTCAGACAGCTTACGTTCTAGATGCACTAGGCACACAGGATGTCCCTGACTTGCTACATCAGCAGTGGACCAGAAGGAAGGACACCTGACTCCTTGTCTTGGCTCTGACATGAACAGTGGGACTCTACGTTTCTTAAGACTTCTTTTTAAAGCTCCAGAGCCCCTTCCTAAATGACCCTATATAAATTACTCAAGAGCCTGTTGAGTAAGCATAATATCCTGTATATTTGTGAACTCTCAGTAGTACAGTAGCTACAACAGTCTTTTTTTTTTTTTTTTTTTTTTGAGACGGAGTCTCGCTCTGTCACCCAGGCTGGAGTGCAATGACACGATCTTGGCTCACTGCAACCTCCGTCTCCTGGGTTCAAGCAATTCTCCTGCCTTAGCCTCCTGAGTAGCTGGGACTACAGGTGCCTGCCACCACACCCCGCTAGCTACAACAGTGTTAATTCATTGTTAAACTGATTTTAATTTTCTCAGACTGGGAGAATGGTGCCATCTTGTGGACATGAGAAAGCAGCGCGGCACGTCCCACACCCCACGCAGAGGAGAATATAAACACTTCCTTTCCTGTTGGTGCACTTAACTAGCAGACCGTGATTTCCATTAGCTACAACTACTAAGCCACTTGTTATCTATTAAAATTGCCCTAAGAGTTATTAGATCACGCATCTGTCTTCTAGCTCATCTCCTTATGTTTGGGAAATGAGTTCTTTTGGTAGACATTCATGTATTATTCCAGACCACATACCTTGTAACAACAGTGGAAGCTGATTCATATTCACTTTAAAAAACATGAAGTCTGTACAATTTACATACTTTCCAAAGGCAAGAAAATGAATCAAATTATTTCTCAAGAACTTTCTAGTCTTCATGATTCTAGTTGAATTTATATGAAAGTATTTTAAGACACCTTTAAAATACAAAAGATACTCTTAAAATACAAAAAGTATTTTAACATACTATAATAATGAAGTATGAAAAGAAACATCGTGGCGTTAATACTTCCTGAAACTTCGGCGGAATATGCTGTGTGTGTCTCTGTCTGGGCAGAGTGTAGCGTTTGCTGGCAGTGGCAACGCTTTTTCCCTACTGCTACAAACTTACACAAAAAGGCCTAAAGCGCCTTACCCTTGTATTCTACAGTACATCTAGCCATACATCTAGCTGTGTAGAGGCTGTAGATTATCAATGATGATAAATCAGTCTCACAAGAGAAGAGACGATTTCCTTCCTCAACTATAATACCTAGATTTATTGTGTAAATTCTCAAACTTTTTCATATTTTGCTTCAAAGGCGAAAAGAATGTTTATTTCTTCTTGGTCCAAGGAGGAAGCATGCTTTCAATACCGGTCACTCCCTGCATCAAAATGCACAGATTTTTACTTTGATGGGGTCTTTGTTGATATATCCTTGGTGCTGAGGTTTATGCTAAAAAAAGGATAAGTCATCTGAGGGGATCTTTATTCTACACTGGAAAAAAAAATCAGATAACCCTTTTGTTAATGATACTTCTCCAAAGAAAGAAGCCATGAGGCTGTTTATAGCACTAAAGTATCTGAAACATCCAGTAAGCACCTTTGGAAAATCTTACAAACATTCTGGTAAAAGGGAGTTAGAGAGTTCATGATAATAGTTTTACAATGCAATGGTACTCAGCATCTTAAATGCTATGAAGTTTTATCCACCGAGTCCCCAGTAGTGACAATGCTACCCTGTCCCTTTGTGTACTTCCGGGTGTCATTCAAACCTTCCCTTTGACCTAATACAGCCCGTTTTCACTGTTCATGCAAATGCTGTTCCTCAATAACCATTCCTCCCACCTTTCCACTACTGCCAGGACTGCCTGCTCTTTCCTCACTGGTGTCTCGAATCCACCATCTCACCACCAAATATATGTTAGTCTCTTTACTCCTTTTCCCTTCTCTTGAGTTTTCCCAGTTCCCTTGAATTTCAGACATTGTACGAGTGACTGTGGACTAGCTCCTAAGAACTGGGTAGAAAAAGGAGCCCATGAGGTAGGATGTCCTGTGTGAAGCTGCTGGTGCCCCGATGATGGGATCTGGACAGATTCACCTATGGCAGGTTGACCCTGTCATCCCACAGGGGCTCAGGCTTCCCTCCCTGCCTTGCCTCCTTGAGGCATGCCGTTCTACACCTTGTTTACTTGCTTACTTTTGCTGTACTGGTGTTGGGAAAATTGTGTCTACTATAGACCCTTCACCATGGGCACATTCATCTTTTATTATTTTCCTTCCTTTCTTTTAGGGGGCACACAGTATGATCAAAATCACATTATCCTCAACACTGTCAGCAAAGAGAAGTTTACACAAGTGTGGGAAGCCATGGTCCTATAAACCTGAACAAAGAAGGAAGAAGAATCTTCTGGAGGTCCTTCCAGTCACCTTATTTTTTAAAAAGGACAATGCTGATGGAAGATCCAACTGGAAAGTGGATCAACTCCTCCTTCATTGATTCTAAATTCAACCTTAAATCATGCTGCCATGACTCAGAGAACTTACTCATCGTTTCAAAAGACTATCATAGCTTTAAGCCAATAATTTGTCCTCCTTTCATTTCTTGCCTTTCATTTTTGGTAGCTGCTTAAACAGGTTGCCTAATTAGCAGCTTTTGGGTGATTTTTTAAAATGTTATACCAAGACTTCAAGACTGTGTACATTTTAAATTATTTCCAAAGATAGTGACAGGAGAGAACTGGAACAAATCTACCAACTTTGTAGGCCTACAAAGCCCTTACACTTTAAAGGGTAAGATAAAGGCTTAGGTTTGAAAGGTAGAGAACTGTTTAGCATCTGAGAAGAAATACTTAATTAGGCCTGTAATTTTGGTTCTTGGCCTTAAACACTTTATGGAACCTTAAAATATGCTGCATAGCACAGTAGGAAAGCCTTAGGTCTTCACACCTTTAAGGAACTCTAAACAAAATATTACTTTCCTTTAGTTCATATTAAAAACTAATGCAGTTTAAAAATTTCATGTCAAAGTATGGTAACAGTTGTTAGTAGGATTTGAATTATTAATTTTTTGATTCAGGGTCTCACTCTGTCACCCAGGCTGGAGTACAGTGGTGCAATCGTGGCTCACTGCAGCCTCTACCTCCCTAGGCTCAGGTGATCCTCCCACCTCAGCCTCCCAAGTAGCTGGGACTATAGGCACACACCACCAAGCCCAGCCAATTTTTGTTTTTCTGTAGAGATGGGGTTTCACCATGTTGCCCAGGCTGATGTCGAACTTCTGGGCTCAAGCAATCTGCTCGCCTCAGCCTCCCAAAATGCTGGGATTACAGGCCTGAGCCACTGCGCCCAGCCAGGATTTGAATTATTTTAACTGATCCATGGGCTGCCCTAGAATGTCACAAATGAGTGTGGTTTAATGCCTTTCTTATAGCTGCTACTGGAACACTATTATCATGACCTAATTTATGAGCCATCCTTACTCATCTACAAGCGCTGAAGCAATGTTATATACATTTTTGCTAAACTCAGATTTGTTAGCCTAATTTCTTGCCCTTCTATCCACCTGCATCTGCACATGGCCTGCATGGGGCTGCCTGCCCTGCAGTGTTCTATAGCCATTGCTTCGGGGTACAGCTGTTGGTGGACAGCCTCAGGTCCTGGGGGCACTGTAGCCACTAAATGAGGTGTGAAAGGCTCAAGAGGACGACCAGCAATTATCCCCAGAAAGTGAAGGAAAAGAGACCTTCAGGGATGTTGCTGGTCAAGTCTTGGAACTCATGATTTGACTGGAGTCAAATCAATCTTCAAGCAGTCTTGGAACCCTCAACTGCAGTAAGCATTTCAAGAATGCAAACATACTGCTTAACTACTGACAAGACACTGGCCCATACGCTGCTGTTCAAACTGGGTTCTAGCTTTGAAGAACAAAAGTGCTAAACATTTCCTTGAATATATTCTTCCTCTTTTTGTCCTCATCACTCAATACTGGTGCTCTTATCACACGTAGAACAACTCGTTTCTTTTCCATCTATTCAAGTGTGTCTCTAATTCTAAAATGCTGATCTTCTCTGGAGTCTGTGGTAGGCAATTCCGGTCACTGGAATAGTTTATCTTGTTTTAAAATATTATTGGCGCTGGTACAACAGCATCCAACGTATCTGTCTTGTTCCTAGATGTATAGCTTTGAATTTAGGCCTTTTGTGTATACCATTACAATGTGGTGGGGTAAGACACTCTACAATGGCCTGTGCTGAGCTGATCTCTTAAATAAACTTGCTTCTGGTTAACTATGTTGATGAAATCTGAGAGTCCATTCAGTAGCCCTCATCTAACCCTTCAAAGAGAGTCAGCTAGCAGATTAGAAACAAATGTCTGATTAGGATGAAGCAGGTTTGAGGGGTGCTGGTTTAACAGCAAGAAAGTGTTGCTGACACTCTTTCCAAACGCCATGGTTTCTGAGTGGAAACGAGGATGAGTGAGGTCCTGGCTCAAGTATTTTACTCCCACTACCACCTGGGAGCCCTCCAGGAAAAGAGCTGAGGCTGCTCCAGATGGAATTCAGGAGCAGTTGGTATTTACACCTGGAAAATCAGACTTTTTTTTCTTTTGAAATAACTCGGTAGTAAGACCAGACCAGCAATTCTAGAGAAAAGCCTACATCTAACATACATGCTACCAAACGAGTGTCTAACAGGAATTAACCAAGCAGAAATCTCAAAACAGGTCTACATCAAAAGTTAAAGGAAGCATTTCAGGTGCAATACTGAGGATGAGTATATTAGGAAGTAAAAACACTTACCGTAAATGAATATTCAAAAGTGCACACTGCAATGGGTTGACTGGAGAGAGATCTAAATGTAAACATTTGACATCAAAGTGGCGAGCTTTGGACTCCATTGGAAGGCTGCAATTTCCATGGAAAAGCCCTCAGAGAAGCATGTTTCAATTGCCGAAACAGGCCTAACCCTTATGCAAGACGTAAGGGTTTTGACAAGTTAGAAACTCTGCCCTCACCTTTCAATATTAGGAGCATAAACAAATGAATCACCAGCCAGATTTTTATATATGACACTAAGAGACTTAGATGTGGTGACCACATTATGGTAGAGGAACAAAAAAGGAAACCTTGGTCAGTTAGAATGGTGCTCGGTGATTAATTCAAGAAGAACTAGCTTTAAATGATCTCTTCATGCTGACATCCATCCATACACTGAAAGTTTTAGTATGGTACATTAAGATGATCAAGCCCAGCACGGTGGTTCACGCCTGTAATCCCAACACTTTGGGAGACTGACGTGGTGGATCGCTTAAGCCCGGGCGTTTGAGACCAGCCTGGGTAACATGGCGAAACTCTCTACTAAAAATACAAAAAATTAGCTGGGTGTGGTGGTGCATACCTGTAGTCCTAGCTACTTGAGAGGCTGAAGCAGGAGAATCGCTTAAGGTCAAGGCTGCAATGAGCTGTGATTGTGCCACTGCACTCCAGCCTAGGTGACAAAGTAAGACCCTGTCTCAAAAACAAAAAAAAAGACAATAAAGTAGTTTAAGCTAGTAAAATGGAAGGTGCCACAGCAACCTGCAAAGCCAGTGTGAAAGAACAGCTTGAAAAAACCTGGAATTTTTACTGACTACAGACAAGTTCAAGTGCTGGTATTTTTATATCGATTACTGGCCAAAACGGTGTGCTTATTTTTTAAAGCTTGTATCATGGAATTTATAATCTAATCTGGAAAAAATGCTAGAAAAAAATTTGGGCTCACAGGCACTCACCAAATAAGAACGCCAACAATCAGTAAACTGCATTTTTATTTAGACAACATTAATTACAGTCTTTCCTCGTGCGTGTCCTCTTTCCACCTTCAGGAAGGCTTCTGGAACTTTAGAAAAAGGAAAGGTTTGTTCAATAACTGGCCGGATCTGTAAAACATAAGAGGTTGACCAGTGGATAAAAAAGCCTACATCTTTCAAGGCAGATGACATTGGTAATTAGTTTCTTCACAGTGTCCCTCAAGCCACAGCCTCTCTTGAGTGTCTCTCCAGTGGACCCAGGTCAGGTTCTCACACGGGCCATGATGCTGCCTCCATTCCTGCCTCACTGCTGCTTCTCTCTTTACGGCCCTTCCCACCCCACTGCCCAGTCTTACTTCTCCTCCATGCTGGTCTGTCACTCTCCTACTCAGAACCCTTCAACAGCTCCCACCCTGGCATTCGAAGACCAATAGCATCCTCAGCTCAGCCCTCATCCAGATTCCACGCTTTCCCAAAACGCTCTACTTGTCCTTTTCTCCACCTGGTATGTTTATGCCTCTGCTGGTACAAGTCAGTAAGCCCAGAAATCCTTCTCCTGTGAAAATTCTACCGCCCTTCCCGTCCAGGTCTCACACTGTCTTTCCTCATGCCCCAGTTTGCAACGTGTTGTCCCTTTCAACTACCACAGGAACCATGTGGCCTACTTCACAGACTGTACTTGTTTACAGCTGAGTACCCATCTCAGTCACTCTGTGCTGTATGGTAAATAACAAAGAGAACATCCCAAGGTCCTTGCTGTATGTATCCATCTGGCCCCTTACAGAAAGTGCATGGAAACAGTGTGTGTGTTTCTTTTTTTTTTTTTTTTAATTTGTTCAGTGTTTGGCATATCTACCCAACCAGAGCATAAAGTACCTGTGGGACAGGGGACTAAGCCACTTTGTTTGCATCCCCCACAACACCCAGCATAATGCTAAACATACGGTAGAAGCTTCATCAATGTCACTTAGGTGAAAGCTAATAAGGTAAGTGGGGGGAAAAGCATCTTATGTGAGCTTTCTGGGCTTCGAGAATACTTGGCCCAGGCTGGAGTTGCCCTGGCAGGCTTTGCTAAACAACGGTGCGCTGGTTACAATTTACAAGAAAGCCATTCCAGCCAGCTCATACATGTTTCAGTGCTGCTGGGTCTTCTCGCTGCACTATCAGTAATGCCAGCAACCTCCTTCTGAAACTAGGTCCCAGGTAACGCCCTCTCTCTGCATGCAGAAATCCAACTGAATTCTTCCTTTTCAAAACTTTAAGCAAACATCCACGGTTATCCACTGGGTATCTCAGTGGCCCGCCTCCCATAGCTCCACTGGCAGGGGTAAGTTATCAGAGGGCGTAAGCCAACTCATCCATTTTACAACGCCTTTCCTTTTACAAGAGGAAGAAGTGTTATTGTGACATTCAGATGCATCTGATGAACCTTCCTCGTGGATGACTTCACAGCCCAGCCACCAGAAAAGCATCTTAGACTCCAAAAGTTCCCTTCTCCAAAGAGCTGAAAATACTTTTGTACCCGCAAATCACAATCAGCTCATAATAAAAGCAACAGCTGGCACCTCCTGGCCTCACTATGTGCCAGGCACTGTTTCAGGGGCTCCTAGATTTCATCTCATTTAACCCCCATAACCATTTTCTGGGGTAAATACTGTTATTCCCATTTTACAGATGAATAAATCAAGGCACAGAGTTAAATAAGTTGCCCAATGTCTCACTTCTGATAAATGGCAAGTCAGGATTCAATTTGGTGCCATCATCTGCTATCACCACTATGCACTGAGCCTTTCCTATAGCATCTGCTGCTGTCTACACCTACCCCTAAAACCTTGAAGGAAGGGAAAAGTAGCCAAGGACTGTAAGGATTTATTACAGTCTGCATGTCAGCCTGCCTGCCTTGTGCCAGCTGAGGACCTGGTCTCTAGACCCTGTGTCCAGGCCACCAAGATGACAGATGTGTGGTACACAGGTGCCATCCACACCTATGGAGGACATCACTATTGCTGACCCCTGCAAGCTGAGCATGACCTCAGAATCTTCACCACTGCAGCCACTATTAACTGCTCTGAGCTGGCTTGTGAGACGAAGCCTATTTGTCTTCCATTCTCTCCAAGAATAAGGCAGAGGACTGTGGTGAGTCCCACTTTGGGGTGGACTGCATTAATGTTGCTGAATGGAATGGGATGCATTGTTTCTTGGCCAGGCACAGTGGCCCACATCTGTAATCCCAGCACTTTGGGAGGCCGAGGCAGGCTGATCACCTGAGGTCAGGAGTTTGAGACCAGCCTGGCCAACATGGTGAAGCCCATCTCCACTAAAAATACAAAAATTAGCTGGGTGGGTTGGTGTGTGCCTGTAATCCCAGCTACTCGGGAGGCTGAGAGGCATGAGAATCGTTTGAACCCAGGAGGTGGAGGCTGCAGTGAACTGAGATCGTGCCATTGCACTCCAGCCTGGGCAACAGAGCGAGACTCTGTCACCAAAACAAGCAAACAAAACAGTTGTTTCCTGGATGTCCCACATGAGACCTGCAACAATCACTCCCCCAAAGCCCCTGGGACACTGTTTTCAGGATGCTGTTTACCTGGAAAAGGAATCACCCAAATGCATGCTTAAAATGCAGAGTCCAAGGCCTCCCATTAGAACAACTACATCAGAACCTGCAGGGGTGGGGCAGAAACAATGCTTCCCCAGTGATCTGCATGTACCCTAAAATGGGACTCACCCAGCCCTCTGCCTTATTCTTGGGATCCCTAACTTGTACCATGCACATACCCATCCATTCCACAGACTGACAAAGTGTCCGCCTCCTAAGGCACTAATCCAAAGCAGGCTGAACTCAATGTTCAATTTAGAGCTCTGACTGGGGACACAGATCCTGAACTGATGACACAGGGAGCTTAGAGTTACTGCCCACTTTAATCTGGCTGGTCAGGCCTATTGTGGCAAATAACCCGAGAGGGCTGACCACGGCATAATGAGTCATTCAGCAGTTCCCGTAAGTGACAATGGAGAAAAAGGTTTCCAATTGAAGGCCAGCAAATGCCACTGTTGGCTGAATCTGTAACAGCAAACAGAGATTAACTGGATAATGAGACAGTGTCTATGTACAGCCTCACATCAGACCTAGAATACTTGTTTGTTAAGGACAAAGGGATCAGAGGTAAAATCCAGAGGGGGGAAAGAAAGGTTACTTGCAGTGAAGTGGGGACGTTTATGTGATGACGCTGCTGTAGTCCACCTGGCACAGGGAGCCCTGTTATAAAGCGGGCAGGCTCAACGGCACGCTTCCCACTGTGCAGATACACAAGGCTCACGGCCGGCCAGGGGACGCTCACAGCAGCAGCCCTCATTCAGTTTTGGATTCATGTGTGGGGTGCTGATTGTGCCTCGCATCCCTGATACAAAGGCTGAACCAAGCCAAGCACCAAGATTTGGCACCTGCTGCCTGACATCCCTTCTGGGAGAACGTAGGGATGATGGGAACCTCAACCTCTCT